CTCCCGATACAGTTAGATATTTGATAAATATAAATAAAAGCAAAGCGATTAAAATAAACGCGACAAGTAAGATAAAGTATACAATAGCAAACGACGTGATGGAAGTGGTGGTTTCTTTTTCCTATCTGGGTAGTATTAAATCCGGAAAGGATAATGCTAAAAAGGGTATACTTGCCCGCATAAACAAAGTGAAGGGTGTATATGCTCAGCAGAGAAAGGTCTGGTACTCGTCAATGTTATCAACACACACTTAACTTAGAATTTTCAAACAAACGTAATCCTAGTAATATTATGTTTTTGTGAAACATGACTCAAAGTTTTATAAATAGATGCCTGAAACGAATTATAAGAGTTTGGTGATCAAATGATTAGACCAATGAACAACTCTATCGAAAATACAACATCGAACTAATAACAAATTTAATAAAAATATGCAATTGGCGCTAGACTGGCTATAAGCTTCATAAGGTTTCAACCGAAATATGTCTTCAAGCACTGGATTGGAATCTATAAAATAGACGAAAAAGAGAACATTCAACAACACTATGGAGACGAACGCCACATGCCGAGACAACGAATTGATAGTAATCGCAAATAACAACATATATATATTACATATATACACTATATATACCTTTTACACCATATTCTATTTTAAATATATAATAAATTCAATCTTTTTAAATTTATTATTTATTTATACTTATCAACAAATTTTTTGATATTGCTTCAAGTAATGAATCTTACCTGTAAAGAAACAAAAAGAAAACAAATATATTAATATTTTAAATATAATTTAATATTGATTTATTATAAAAATATCTAAATATAAAATATATATATCTTTATGTGATTTGTAACAGTTTATCATATTCCAACATATTCCAAAATTAATTAGACCTGAACTAGACTAGATAAAAGATTAGGAAAAAGTTGTGTATTTTTTCTAAATATTGTACGAGTATCTTTGAAATACTTTTATAACTATTGTTTAATAATTAATAAACTACATATACTCTTATGTTCATGGTGAAATTTATTTATATCTGGCATTACAAATGAAACACGATTTTATTGAATTAATGATAATGAAGTGGATTTTAATTTGTAAGTCAAATAATTGAATTCAACCGCAATACTAAATCATTTTAGCCAAATAATGAGCGATACTAATCACATGGATTCATACAATTTATTGTAGTTACAGTTTTTGTATTTTATTTTTAGATATATTTAAGAAATTTGAGTAAATTAAGTATTTGAAAATACAGTGTTAGCTCGATTTCTACACATACTCCATACTTGCCAAACTGCTACTTACAACTTAAAAATCTTTTTCATTATGCATTCTGGATAGTTGCGACACCTAAAACTAATTTCTGAATAAATTTTCATTAAATACATTTCACTATTGTTAACGTTTTCTTAGATTTAATATAATTTGAAACAATATCGGAAAGAGAAACCGACATATAATATTGATCTGCTCGCCTTTTTTGGAAGGCTTGACCTTAGAACTTATGTGCTCAAATCAATCTTCATTTCTGTGACATAATAACGATAGAAAAACTATATTGTGCCTATTTCAAAATTCTGTTACTCAACATTCGCTTTAGAGTTAATAAGTATAATTTTTACACCAACAAAAAAATTGATTCCGGAGAAAGCACTTTTACTTAGCGATAACGCCCCATACTGACCTTAAGAACCAGTGGTAAGAAGTCATGTTGTCATTTATATGCTTTCCTCCTCTAAACTTTAATACTGTCAGAATAATATTATAAGGATCACTAAACTAAACTACAAGAAAAATCTTCTTAAACACATTATTCAACAAAAAAAAAAAACAATAGATAAATCTATGCATTATAGATAAACCATTAAAATAAAAATACTGTTATTCCAACAAAAAATTTTGAAACTCTTTTTCATAGAAGATACGAACCCATAGTTGCAATCCTTTGTATTTAAGACTAAGCTTTAAAAAGCCATATGGTTCAAACTGAAATCTAATCTTGATGATGAGTACTTAGCAATACTCGAAACAGCGTTGTGTGGTCAGCACAAATTTTTATAATTTAACTGAAAATTTTTGTTGTTGTTTTTTAATTTTCATTCGAACCCTTCTAACTTTAAAATAGTTTCTTTTCGTCATAAAGAAGCGTCAGTTTTGGTATTAACATTAACATTAGATAATTTTTTTTTTATATTTGATTTGCAATTATCATTAAATTTTACTCAGAAATCCAAATTTTCAGGATGGCGTTATTTTAAAAAAGGTTTTATAAAGTTGAATAATCAGGTATCTAAAATCAAATACATCCGTATGATATTTTTGTTAAATAAAATATTAAAAAATAGTAATCAAAGTTTGTCAAAATTCCATTCGTGGAATAGAAATGGGAACCATTACTTTCTATTAATTTATTAGATATTTTTAAGTTTTAAAAATAATTATATCGTATATCGCAATCGTGTTCTATGTTGTTGTTGTTGTTGTGGTTTGAGTTAGTGCTATTGCGCACTTTTACTCTTTTGTGGCTGGGGGGCTTATTCCTTCCCTACACTTAGCTTTAACTATACTAGAATTATTATCGTTTATTTATCTTTTAATTGATGATGGATCTTAGGTCCGCATATCTTCCTGTGCGTCATGAGATGGACTTAAGGTTTGTTAAATTAATTATATGGTTAGAATTAGAATTAAAAAGTTTGTTATAATTTATTTTTTAATATTAAATATTTATTGTATATTAATTATTTTTTAAAATTTGTTTTTAATTTAATTTATAAAATAATAATGATAAAGGGTTGGGCAAAGTATCGACTTTTGTGAATAATTTTAGGGCTCTGTCCTTGATATCGTGTTCTACGAAAAGTTATTATATTTTATTAAAATAAAAAAATTCACAATTTATCCATGATTTTTATTTTAAAAAATTTTTTTATTAATACAATTAATTCCGGCAAAATAATTTACTCATTATTTAATATATATTATGGAATGAAAAGTGTCTTCAATTTTTAACAACAAATGAATTTTAATTTTGTTACAAGATAAAACTGGTCCAGCGATATAGTGAGTATTTCATAGTCTATCTAAAATTTAAAAAGTTTTGATTTAATTGAATTTCATTTATAGTTTATATCGACTATCAGAGATACGTTGCAACGCAGTTGAGATAACATTTTAAAGATTGGGTAAGCTACTTTTTAGTACTTTAAAATGCTGAAAAAAAAATTTGAAATAAAAATATGTTGTTTTTAAATATTTTTAAACATTAAAGCCAAAACTCAATACTAAATCAATAAATTTTTGATATCTGAATTTCGATTCAATGTGTCAGAAACGATGCCTAAGCGTTTTGTTAGGAATTTCGAAAGATACTTGAAATTCAATTAAATTTTGATTTAATTTTTCCTTTTTAAGTCTTAAATGAACTGAAATAATTGGCTGTATTAACATAAAAATCAAAAAAAAAAATATAAAAAAATGAATGTGGAAAATGTTTGTTAAATTTGTTGTTAAATTGCAAATTTCCTAATTGGTGCTGTTGCTCTGATTACGTCTACCAAATAGCAACTAAAAACGACGGAAATATTATGAAAAATGATTTTTCACAATTAAGATTTGCCACAACAGTAGCAGCGCGACTAAGTGAAATAATTGAAGAAAATGCAGTTAAAAATCATTAAGAATTTTCCAGCTTCATTCATTGTACACAACAATTGTGCTTTTGTGCTTTTGTCTAAGTCTCTGCACTTGTGATTTCCTATTAAATTAATTTAAAAAAATATTTCATTTATTCATGTTAAGGCTGAAAGCGGCAAGAAAAGTACACGAAACGTATCTTTTTTTGTTGATTTTTAAAGATTCGAGATTGAAGCTGGCAGACGGACTTAATATGTTTTTTATGGCGCCTTTAATTTGAAATGCAAATTAATATAATTAGTAAAGAAAGAAATAAATTTTGTGATTAAAAAGAGCTATGAAAGGTTAGAAGCCAACGAAGACAACCTTTAAAGAGTAATATAAGTATATACTGAGGTTTCATTAATAATATAATGTAATGGTTTAATCATTTAATGGAGATATAAACATTTTAATCGAGTAAGAGATTCAGATATACGTATAAGTATAGAAGTAGAAGACATCTGCTTAGTCTTCTTTGATAAGATAAGAGCTTCATTGAACTCTAAATTCGTTTCTCTAACTTCTAGTTAGAATTTGAATTATAATTTTAATAGAAGTCTGATTCTAGTTGGTTATTCAAATAATTTTAAAGAAGTTTACTTTGAAACCCAGCATATCTTCGTGACGGAATATATATTGCACTTGATGTGAGAGAAGGCAATTCTGGATTAGTGTGCCCTTCCGTTATCTTGACTCTCGACTCTAAATTCTTTGTGTATGTCTTCACTTCTGATGTACCCCATGGAGCTGTTAGCACATGTTTCAGTACAAATTTTTGATAAGTTTGGAGTTTTCGAATAATGAACGGAGCAGCATTGCCATAAGTAACACAGCCATAAAGTAGTTTAGGTTTAATTATTTGCTTATAAAGCAGAATTTTATTTTTCGTACTAGGGCAAAGGACGTAGCAGTTAACCTAATGTTAACTCACAAATAAATACACAAATATTTTTCATACTCAACTTTTCTTATCTTAATGGTTTTAGAGCATTCATTGTTACATTACAAATTAGCTTCTTTACCCTTAAATTCTCTAACCAAGGGTGACTTCTATTAAAAGTTCGAAAAGACCTAAGTATTTAACAATATTCTCCCATTCTATTTTCACATTATAGACTATGAAAAGTTTTTATATTTTATTAAAATTTAAAAATTCACAATTTATCCATGATTTTTATTTTAAAAAATTTTTTTATTAATACAATTAATTTCGGCAGAATAATTTACTCATTATTTAATATATATTATAGAATGAAAAGTGTCTTCATTTTTTTAACAACAAATGAATTTTAATTTTGTTACAAGATAAAACTGGTCCAACGATATAGTGAGTATTTTATAATCTATCTAAAATTTAAAAAGTTTTAGTTTAATTGAATTTCATTTATAGTTTATATCGACTATCAGAGATACGTTGCAACGCAGTTGAGAGAACGTTTTGAAGAGTGGGTAAGTTATTTTTAGTACTTACTATTAAAAAGTACTAAAAAGTACTAAAAAGTAAAGGACTATTTTATTTTGCTTCTAACACATAATTATTTTTTTTAAACACATATATTTTTTTATAAATTTTACTCAGTTTTATTCTATCTCTCCACTAAAGTTAGGGTGGATATAAATTTTTTTTAAACGAGAGTGTATAGCTTAAAGATAATGTTACAGTGAAAGAACTTAGATGACTTTGCAGTTCGAAAAGTTTATTCTAATTTATATGCTGTTGCCTATAGATTGTCTATTGATGTTCTTTTTAGTACATATCAATTTGTCTTAGAAACTCTTTTTTACTATAATATATCACCTCTTGTTCGAGTCCAATGATTCGGAGTCATTGTCACGTCAAATATAAAATACTTTTTATTTTTAATATGAATAAGAAATGTGTGAATCTAAGAAATTTCGATCAAATTTTGACAAGGTTTCTAGTGCTTTGTCCGATTACTCAGTAATTAACGTCAGAATTTGTGTCTTTGAGGAGCAAATATGCATAATTTTATGAGGATGTAGTCACGTCTTTATACAAAAAATATTATCTATTAAATATGAACGCAAACGAAAGTACAAAATAATAGGTGTAGTACGAAATAGACAGTTGTGATTTGACGCTATGCATAACATGTCTTCATGGTCACCGCCAGAAAGTGCATAAGGAATGATGGCCACTGTCTAGTTTTTCTTTCATATGAATAAGTCTGAAGTCCATAATGAATATAATCGTTGCTATCAGTAAATTTCTATTTGTTAAAACCTTTCTATTTCTTATATAGAAATATATAAATCATATATATATAAATCATATAAAAGATATATATAAATATAAATCTATAAATCATATAAAAGAAATCATATAAATCAGTTGTAAGAAAGGTAAAAAATTAGTTGATATAAAACATATCACTTGAACTTGATATCATTGTCACCACTCGGTATTTTGCATAAATAAATATAAATTTTTTTATTTGCATTTCTTGAATGTTTGTTGAATGCTTGTTTTCTTGTTGCGTGTTTGGCATTTTAAATTAAAATTAAAATTAAAATAAAAATAAAAATAAAAGGAAATAAATAATATAAACGCGACATATTCGTACCAGAAATGGCGTAAACCGCAATGTTGCATTTATTGCACTTTGGCGGTAGTCGTACCCATTGCTACATGGCCATCCCATGGTACAAAGTCATTACCAACATTTTGGCAGACGTCGTGGCATACATTTAAGTGTATAAATTTTAAAAATAAAAATTAAATAAAATAAAATAAACCTGCGGTAATTAAATTTTTTTCAACTTCTTCAACTTTTTCCGTTTATTACACTCTTGACAAATATAGTAATTGACAATAATAGCGCCATAAGAAGTGTATTTAGGTATGCAGTTTGCAAAAACTTGGAAGGGAAGGAAATCGAGCCTATATTGGTACAAAAAATATTGTTTTGATGTTTTGTCGGTAATTTATGTTACTATTTATTTTTTATATGAAATACTATCAATATATCGTCATCAAAATATTGGTTATGTCATGTAAAAATATTAATTATATTCCTTAAAATAATAGCAAAATTACGATGAAGAAATTGGAAACTACATAAATTTTTATTTATTTTAGTAGGACCTATATTTTCCGAAAAAAAAAAATTGGAAGCGAAAATGTAATATTTCAACAATCGGTGATGGTGATGGTTACCGATCCATAGATTAGCGATTAAAAACCACACACGTGATTCCTTAATTAGCATGCCAATGTTTATTGATTTACTTATATACAATATATTGCCTTTTCTCTCTTATTCTATATAAATATGTATAGTGGTCTCTCACTTTGTGAGCTAAAGCTATGATGAACTGGATCGATGTAGTGATGTATGTTGCACTCTTTCAATTTTTTAATTATGTGCATAGTAATACCTTACACTTTGAGTTGATTTAATAAAACTTGTGACATCTATATTTATTTTTATAATTGCACTTAAACGAATTCAAAAAATGAACAGAATTAATTTCTTTTATACTGTACTTCACGTATAAAGTATCTCCTAAAAAAAAGAAGTATATAACTTAAATAGAATACGCCCTTTAATGATTGAACGTCATTTTCCATGTGATGCCGATACAGCTATAGATTAAATACTGTACTATGACCAGCTTTTGCTTCATTCAGATTGCATGAGAGTGAAAGTTATATTCTGGTTACTGCCCTACATAACCCGGCAGTAAGTAAAGACTGTCACTGTCTCGAAAATGAATTTCTAAGATCTTTACATAATAAATTTTTATCGAGATATAAATGTTGAAAATAAATTGATTAATTGATAAGTGAAAAATAGGATACTATATCTTTTTGAATACTTTCAAGATGGAATGTGGAGTTAGTGTATGAATTTTCATACCTCAAAAGGAAACAAGAAGAACCTATTATCTTACGATCTCCACTAGTCTTTTCTAAAACGATATTTTTGCTATCAAGAAACTAGATTTACTGCTTTTATAAAACCTACGACTTAACAGATTACAGTCTTCTCAGACAGTATATCCCTAGCCTAGTTAAAGCTAATCAAACAGTGCAAAACAAAACTGAAGTCAATAGATCATCAATGAATTACCGGTTCGCGGCCCAATAATATCCTTCTAGTTTATATTAATGTTTAATATTCACAAAGTCACATAGTCTGTATTCTGTTTCTTGCTTTAAAAAAACTATACAAAAAATTTGTTACTATAATCCGACATAAAGTTTTACGTTTCATTTTTTCGAATTTACTATTTCCGTTAATTATTTTATATATTTTAAATACTTTACCAACTTAGCATTGATTTTTTTATTACTTCATTATAAATAAAAATTATGTTATATTGAATAATATTACATTGATTTCATTTCAGATTTCCAGAATTCGCTCTAAAATTATAGGGTCTTCAGTTATTTGTGTGCTATCAATATAATTTTTTTTTTTTGCGAAATGGATTTCACCAACCGTAAATACCTACAAAAATGCTGTGATGGGAGATATTCTGATGGGAATGTTGCAGATTGTGAGGCATCAGACGCAAATGAATTGGTCAAAAAATCTAAACGAAAATCGTTTCCAATCATGATTCATCAGCTTATGCAAATGTTTGATATAGATATAATTGGCTGCGATGGAAAATGGAGCCTATTTGTCGCTGCTGCATCAAGTCATAGATGGAAAGAACTACTGATTCCCATTCCTCCTTTTAAATCTGGGTCTACATTTGATATCAAATGGTTGTTGCAAGTTATAAAAGAGACACCTAAGTTTAGTACTCTGTATGATCTTATTTTAAAAAGAAATTGTGATGTCTGTGAGCGGTACGTTATTGAGCTTTTGTACATCGTATTGCTAACAATGAGTGAACCAAATTTTCATATGCTAAAACCTTATAAATTACAAACCATAATAGGTATCACCTATTTAAATATGAATGAAATAAGACCAACGCATGCCTTTGAAATGCGCTTTGCAAACCCTGCAAAACAAGAAGAAAAATTTGAAAGCGTATCTTCAAATTTTTGTAGAAAATTTGGATTTTATGGTGCACCACCTTCAGAATTTTATTCGATATTATTTAACGGATTCTTAAGTAAAGAAATAAAGCGCCCTACCAACGAGGAAAATGCAGAAGTTAAACAGATACACTTAACTACGGATCTTTCTGTAAGTTTAACACATAGTGTTGCGGAACCCTCTTGGAGCTTATCGACTTGCGGTGCCGTTTTGAGATCTGTAGCAATTTGCGAATACATAGAGCGTCCCGACTGTGTGCATGTTAGGAAAGATGCTGATCAGGAACACACCGATATATTCATTAGTAAGGGTGAAGTTATTCGAGTTCGGCATATGTTGTTTTTTGGTGAAGAAATTCCTTCTCTGCAACCTGATGGACATATTGAATATGTGGAAGAAATTATCAACGGGCAAGAAAATGAACCTCCTAAGCAAGAAAATGTCCCTCTTGAGCAAGAAAATAACCCTCTGGAGCAAAAAACTAATCTGCTTGAACAACAAAATAACCTGCTTGAGGAAGAAAATAAGACGAATTTCTTAGCAATTGGATGTTGTGCGGTGGCTGGCATATCTCTGTTTTTCATGTACAAACGAAACATTTTAGGTTTAAGGACATTCATAGAATGCAAGTGTGATGAATTTATTGACGAATTAGTGACTTGGTGTGTTCGTCGCGAGTAAATCAAAAATTAAATTATGTTGGAAAGATACTTAATATTTACATGAGTTTAGAACTAAAATTATTTGTTACTATGTTAACATAAATATACATGTACCCGTGTATATATATTTCTGTGCATTTACAATAAAGTTTTCAAAATGTTAAGGAGTAGACCGAACTTCTCTTTTCTCTAAAACAGTTAATTGTAATAACAAAAATATTTAATAACAAACAGAGGAGGCTTATTATATTGAATGGGCGTATTTAGTTCTTGAATACTATAATATAAATCTGCTTCTTTACAAATCATTGTCATTGAGTTAAAACCTTATAATAATACTCATATCGGTTGATCATGTCTTTCTTCAAACACGATAGGATATAAACATGTCATGAATATTTGAAATCGTGTTTATCTAAACTAAAATTATTAAAATTATTTCCGTGATTTCTAAGTTGATGGCGGTACTTAAGAAAATGCCGGGCTTGTATTTTTACACATTGTTGTCTACAATTTTATAGTTATAGAAATTAACACGATAAGGGCAATAATGAAAAAATTTGACAAGAGTCGTAGTTCTCTTCGCACGAACATTTGTATCCGCAGATACACGGAACAGCGCAGGTTAATTGTTTGTAGCGTAGAGAGATATAGAAGTCCCATAAGAAAGATATGTTTCTTGCTGTCAATAGATCAAGACAAGCAATACAATGCAAGTTATCACGTCAAAAAAAGTGCCGATTCCAATTCAAGATTCCTGATACATCATTAAGATATCTTATATATACATGAATGAACAAGAGAAGTTCACTAAAGAACAAATAGAATAGAAAACTAGTTTTTAAAAAATAATTTTTTAACCTTTATTCTATGTACTACTGAGATCTGTTGTATGATATTAGTATATTACTTACTAAGACTTACTAAAGAATTTTAATATAGTTAGTATCAAAATTTTTTATTTAGCTGATCAGGTCTTTACAAATTTTTGCATAATAATACTATTATATTTTTTGAACTAAAAGAAGTAGAGTATATATGAAAAAGTATTTAAGCAAAAAAAGGTAGTAGAACTTTTAGGTATCTTTATCATGTAATTGATATAATAAATGTAACATCAGTCTTGAGTGATATACTAACATTTGTTCGTATATATGCTAACAGAGTTTGGTTCTTGATAAAAGTAGTCTTGAATTGAATATAAAGCTTTTCAATTCAAGGTAATCTATATGAAAGTAAGATATATGGCATCTGAAACAGCTATATTTTTATAAAACAATATAACAAAATAATTAATAGTATTTTTTTAAATATTATAATTCAAATATATCAAGGATCAGGGAGTATGATAATGATAAATATTCATCTTAAAGTCAAAGAGGATTAAATATAAGCGAATTTTTTTAAGAACTTAGTTAAATTTTTTATTATAATGATACTTACAATTAATATAATTTGTAAATATTGGTAAAATTTTCATTTTTACATTGGTCTAAGACCTGTTATTACGTTGAGAGTTGCCACATTTTAAAGATCAGACACTTCATTACTTTTTATTTGTACTATGCAATATCTTAATAATGATTTGGGTTTTTACAATGTGACTATTAGTCATCACAGTATGTGTAATTACGTTCGAAAAATTATTGGATGTCATAAAAGTGGTTCACGACCCACACTTTTGGAATCACTACTCTCTAAATCTTTAAACAAAAATTTCAATATGTCTCATCACATGTGTAAATCATAAATATTTCAATAAATTAAAAGTTTTAATTGAAAAGTCACACTTGAATTAATTTAAAAACCAAAAGTCCTATTCTACAACAAAAGCAAAACAAAATAAAGTATTTTTAAATTTATAAAATATATATATATATATATATGTATGTGTCTCACAAATTTCTTAATTCAAAAGAGTATAAATTAAGCAGAATTATGTCGAACATTTAGACACAGGCCTATTAACTTTTAAAGCAGCACAAATAAAAATTTTTGCCAGTTTTTGATAAGAGAAAAATTCGGTAAAAAAAATTTAAAAGTCAGGTCTACATAGACTTTAAAATACACTACAAAAGAAAGACGATTGAAAACATTTTAAGCTGAAATTATTAAATTTTAATTAGAAATTTTTAACTCACATTTTATAAACTTTATAATATTAGAAAAAAATTTCATGATGGCTTAGGTTATATTCATATGGCAGACTTAAGACTTCTGAAGAAGGCTTAAATCTATATTCACACTATAGTTTTGATTCCAAATTTTGATATGAACCACTATTGTATTGAAAAAAATTATTATACATTTATATTTTACTATTATAGTAGTCTTCTTAGGTTCAAGAGTTTGTAAGACAACTTGAAAATAACAAATACTCGTACGTTTAAAATGTTAGCAACTTAATGCAATAGATCATATAGTTGATTATACGGGGTATCTAGTTGAAAAGGGTTATCTTCAACAAATCCTTCTTTTATTTTCAATTTCTTTACCATAAAGCAGAAAAAGTGAAACTAAACAATAGGATGTTATATTGTGGCAAATCATTTTCTCCATTTCATCAACTATTGACCCTAGACAGACAAGATTTGTTGTGATAGTAATCTTTTTGAAAGGATTTGAGCGTTGCCGTTGGCCATTTATGGTTCTTCCACCATCAAATCTTTTACATACCTCTATCTAGACCTGCAACTTCACTCACAACCTATGTCCTCAAATTATGTAGTGGTTAGCTCGCGGGTAGGAGTTTTTTAAATGCAGTGACCTTATGCGGCGCTATGTTTCTCCTAGGAGTTAAAGGAATTTATGTATATATTAAGGATATTGGTTTCTAGATGGCAATCCATTTAAAGTGATTTTAAAATGTGTGTAATGTGCACATGAAATGATGTGGTCATATTAAAAAATACACTAATAATTTTAATGTTCATAGAACTGTATGAAAAAAAATAACACCCACAAATTAAATGGACTGCCGTTTTAGAATTGCTAAGAATATTATATGAAATTAAGTATGTATAATGACGTCATTAACAAATTTTATTTACAGCATATAATTTTGCAGAAAAAAAAAACTATATCAAAGGAAGTATCCATTTTTAAACCATTTTTTGCAATATTTTATCGTAAACAAATAATAAATTTTGCAAGAAAATCTAAAAGGAAATGGACGCTACAGTGACCGGATATGTTCGTCTATATAAACAATTCTTTAGGCACGTTGTTGTTGTTAAGAGTTAGATACAATCCCTAAATAGTATCGCCTCACGTCGCTGGTTAAAGGGAAATGTGTGAACTGAAGCGTTTCCATCACAACATTCCTTTGCAGACTAACACAACGGTCTGCAGAAAGAAATGTTTCGGGTATGTTGTGAATGGTGATACGATGGCGTTTGTGCTATTGGCGGATGAGATCAATCGATGAGCCCATAAAGTGAAATTAAAGGAATCGCGTAAACAAATAAGAGATTTCATAAACCATTTACCGATAAAATAGTACTTGCAAATGGAAAACTGTTTAAGCTGCACTCGCATCATTAAAATTATTGTTTTCTTTGAAAACTAATCTGAATGTAGAAAGAAGTACACAAATTTTATAGCAATTTTAATATCCATAAAATGAAAAAAATTCTAAATGCTGGGAAATCAAGCATTTTCACAGTAAAAACACTAAAAAAGATACAACAAAACCATAAGTTTTCTTATTAAAAAACAAGAATAAATTAAGAAAAGAGATTTTAGACAGATGAATTTCGGGTACGTGTTTTTGTGAGTATTTCACTGCGCTCACTCGGATTCTGATGGATTCAAGGTCGTCTCTAATGTACCTACACAGCTGAGTGAAGAAGAAGAATCGATTCATGATTCTTTAAAATTATTTTCTAAACACAAAACATCAACAAATAAAAATAAACTTAAATAGAAAAGAAAAATAAAAACTCAACTGAAATAAAATTTTTAATTTGAGATTTTTTGGCACACTTTGCGGTTGGATTTCCTTTTGAGTTATAAATGAATATTGAAATATATTTCATAAATATTAGAAACCACAAAAATAAATGGTTTCAAAATAATTCAAAAAAATTAAGTTAATTAGATAAATTTAATATTTTTATTTATTTAAAGCGGATTTTAATAAAAAAAGAATAAAATCAAAATAAAACCAGAGAGGTTAAGAAAGCTTTTTGGAAAATTATATACAGACAGCAACAATTGGAATTAACTTACATATATATATACAAAAAAAAAAAGAATAATTTAAAATCTATAATAAATTACATTTCGTCAACTTGGGTTTCTTAAATATATTAATTATACATATTAAATGTGCAGTGTAGACTAATTGGCAAAAAGCCATTTATACATATATATGTATAACATATATAAACATAAATTTATATTATAAATTTATATATATGAATATTTGTCTTTACATAAAATTATTGTTTCTGTTAGTTTGACAAATAAGAAATATTGTTACAATTTATTAATGATTTATAAATAAATAATTAAAAAAATGTTTATTTGGTCGTCGGTTAAGTTCAAAAAGCCTTTTTCGTAAAATCAGAATAATTTAAAAATAATTTAATTTAATTTAATAAATAATTTAATAATAATTTAATAAACGAAAAATAATATTTTTAATATTACTATAATTTCCCGATCTTGGTTTATGATCTCTTTATTGATACTCTTTATAAAATCATAATCCAACACTGTTAATATACCCTCTCATCATTATTAATTAAAATAATTTTTAATAATAGTACAAAATGAAATTTAAATATAGAAATATAATATGCAAAAAATAAAGTGCAGTATTTTTTTATTAAATTTAAAATTAAAGTTATACCAAAAAAATACTGTAATATATAGGGTTCAAAAAAAGAATCCTATTGTTACCCCAAAACACAAATAAAGTTATTATAAATGCAAAAATATAATATCCAAATAATAATATCCTTTATTTTTTATTAAATTTTCAAGTAGGGTTTCAAACAAAACCCTACTGTTACTTTGAAACACAATACTCCACATCCAAAAATATTCAAA